GCACACTTTAAAAAAAAGAGAGAAGCTATTGCCAATTTATCACAAAGAGCGACATGGGGTAGTCTACACAATACTTTCACTAGGTTGAAGTATAAAAAATGGGCTCTATTCCTACTCCATAAGGAGCTTCACATTTAGAGGTGTTGTGATGACCCAAAGGGGCATGGCACAAAGACAACACAAGTCACATCAGTAAGAAGAGTCCCTTTAATACCTCCAACTTTGCGCCCAATGTCCAGGTTACCTTCGGCTGGAGAAACAACTCTCAAGAACCAATCTTTAAATGGAGGAAATTCAGTCCGAAAACAAAGTACATATAAACTTTAAATAAAAACCCACACAATCCACACTGTAGCAATTAACTTGACAGGGCAGGAGAAAGAATTCCAGACTTGAAAGGCCAGCAAAACACACACAGTTAGGAAGACGCCAGGAACCCAGATAAGCTTCCAGGATACCAGAAAACTCACGATTTGCTGTGCACAACTTTCCTTTTTAAACACTGTGTTCCCAGCTGCAGCTAATGAAAGGAATCAGGGCCCTTTCCTCCTCATAACCCATGTAACTCACGTTGCTCCTTTCTCCGTTCCTCATGCCTTAGGATGAAGGGGGTGGGCCTGGGTCTTCCTCTGAATTCTCTCTGCCTTGCTCTACTTCTCCCCTGCTTTGCCCAGCTGGACTTTGCCCTTCCCCAGTTCCTTCCACAGCCAACGGGGCCACACTCCCACTCCCTGTCAGCTGCTCGGCCTCTCCCTTGGAATCAGATTTTAACAGGGGCATGACAGGTGTCTCTGAAACACTCAAGAGTCCAGCAAGATGTTGATTGTAATGGGACAACTCTTAATATGAACCATCCTGATTTGTCAGTTGCAGTTTTAATGCAAAGATTTTCCTAGCAGCTTTTTAAAGATTAACATTGGGTCTCCTTTCGGAAGCCTCCCTCAATTCTTCTATGAGTTTCAATCTCTTTAGAGAGCTAGGATGCTAGAGTTCACCTCAAACAAGGAAGAGGTGAGACAATGCCCTCTTTGTGTGTGTCTTTACACTTGCTTTGGGCACCAACGGTTGATGAGCGGATGAATGCATGTTTTAACTTTCTGAAGGTCCATGGAACATCAAAAAGTTTTAGCCTCATGTAAAATGGCAGAACAGTGTAAGCCTACTGCACATCATTGAAAACCTCTAGTAGAGGTTTCTCAACCATGGCGATTTTAAAATGGATGGACTTCAACTCCCAGAATTCCTCAGCCAACATGGCCTTCAACTCCTTTTGCATACTGGCTGGATAATTCTGGGAATTGATCTGCCCGCCTTAAAGTTGCCATGGTTGAGAACCACTGATTAATCCAACCAGTTGGTCAATGTAGGAATCTACTATTACAGTGTCTTTCTGAATAGTTCTTTCTTTTAGAGGAGGGGTGTCAAACTGGATTTCTTTGAGGGCTAGATCAGCATTGTAGTTCTCATCTGCGGGGCAGCAGCAGGGGGCTGTGGCAGGACGGGGCAGGACCGATGCCTCCTGCAGCACCCTGCTGGCCAAACCGGGGTGTGGGGGGGTCTGTGCGTATCCCCCCTGCACCTCGTTTTTTCCCTCCATGGCCTCCTGCAGCACTCTGCCAGGCGAAAACAAGCTGCGTGGCCCATTTTCCAGCTGTTTTGGGCCCATTTGTTGGCCTCTTTTGGGCCCATTTTTCAGCCTGGTTTTAGCTGGCAGAGTGCTGCAGGGTAAAAATGAGGCATGAGGCCCCTGCATGTGGCCTGTTTTAGCTGCCAGAGGCACCATGGACCTATCCCTTGATATTTTCAGGCCGGCCCTGCGGGTTGGATGAGGCCTGCAGGCCTTGAGTTTCACACACCTTGAACACTGCCGCGGCGGCATATAATGTGCCACCGCTTCCGCATTGGAGGCGCCGGCTCTGGAGCAGTGCTACAGTCAATGAGTGAACCTGCAGGGCCGGCGCCTCGAACACCCCCCTGCCACCTCTTAGCGCCCCCCCTGCCAGCCCCCTTGCCTCTTAGCGCCCCCCTACGGCATCCCACCATCCCCCAGGGGCGGTACCACCCACTTTGAGAACCACTGGGTTAGAGGGTCTAAGAGAGAGTTAAAACAATGCTGAGTTTATACTTTTCTTGATATTCTGATGAAATCTATTTCTTTATAATTTAGCCCTATTGTTTCTCATCCAGTTCGCTGGAACAATGAGCCATTCTGTCTTGTCTTGCACATGACAAGCCTTCAGCTACTTAAAAATATGTCTCCCCAGTCTTCTCTTCTCAGGCTAAATATAGTCAGTTTTTCCATCCATGCCTTTTAAAATCTTGACATCCTTCAGTGTCTTAATGTCTTGCTTAAAAGGAAGTAATAATTTTGGGTGTGGTTGGACCAATACAGAACAGAGCAGAATAGTGATCCCTTTTGATCTGGGTTCTACACTTCTTCAGTTGATGAAGTCTAGGATCATATTTCCACATATACATGTCTTTATTAATTGTATTAATTAAATTGACCAATGTAAATGAATTAAATCAATATTGACTAATATTAATTTATTTAGTTAATATTAATTAAATTAATTATTTAGTACAAGGGTGTTCAACATTTTGGCTTGCCTGAGTTGCACTGAGTGAAGACTAATTGTCTTGGGTCACATATATTCGGTAATGTAGTTAATTTACATAAATAACAAGCTTCCTTTATTAATACTTTTCACTATAACTGTGGGTCTGCATTATGAGCTGTTCCAGGGCCATAGGGCAGCCTGTGGGTCACAGGTTGGACGTGCCTTATTTAATTATTAATTTGACTAATTAAAAATTATAATTAAAATAATTTAAAATTAAAATAAACATGTGTAGAAGGGAGACTAAATTAATTCTCTTTCCAACACCAGAACTCTTTCAATCTGCAGCACACAAACAAGTTTAAGCAAAGGCCTCAAGCAACAGATCACAGACTCATGCCTGGTTTGATTCTGGCATCGGGAAATCGGTGTCTGGGGAATTGGAAGAGGAAGTTGCTGATGTATTTGGCTAGAAATAGCAGTTAGGAATCAGTACCTTGCAGAGAGAAAAAGTAGATTAGTGGTGGAGTGCTGAGTGATTATGATGGGCTACTGTCTGGCTGAGGGCCAAATTTTTTGATGAGAGGCTCAAAATGTCACCAATTATAAGCTTATTTGGAAGTGCCTGGAAACAGTGCCTTGTGTATGTTTTTTAATACAATTTTTATTGATCATACAGGATTAAAAATGACTGAAATATTTAAAAAGTAGCAAAGGGAGAAAGGTATGAAAAGAGACAGAAAAGGTGAGAAATGTAAAAGGCAAAGAAATACACAAAAAATTGAAGGAAATATTTAAAGAAGCAACTTTTGATCTTTGCAGCAATTACAAACATGACTAATACAGTTTCTGCCCTCCCAGATTACATGGTTCCGTCCTTTCAGTGAATCCTGAAATCACTAATTCATTGTTGCCCATTTTCAGCAAATAGTCCAGAAAGCGTTTCCAGTCTGTTATAAAGGTATTTATTGTTTCTTCCCTAATCAAACATCTCAATCTAATCTTTTCAGCAAGTTTCACAGTTCTGCATGTTTACTTTGTAGGAGGAAAATGGTGTTAGTCCATGGTGGCAAAGGATCTGGAATTTGGTACATTTTCCAACTAACACATTTTAGGAAAAAATACAAAATTTGTGATGAAATGTCACATTTAATTAATTGAGCTGTAGCTGGGGAAAATGTATGCCTTTAAAAAAAAACTTTAGTCAGAAAAGGTGCTACCAGATTGCTGATTGTTTTCTTTACTAAGAATTTTGTGTGTGTGTGCACGTTGAGTCTGGTCTCTGGGTGTTATGTGAATTTTGTTGTACGTATACTGTGTATATATATGTACAATGACAATAAAGAATTCAATTCAATAAAGAATTCAACTCAATTGAATTCAAATAAGCCCTACTGTGTTCCACTGGTGTTTCCTTTTGACTAAAGAAAAGCACTAACACAATATGTAGCCATAAATAAAATGAGAAGTTAGCACTTTAGTAAGATCATTTATCCGTGTACCGTCTAAGCCAGTGTTTCTCAAACCTGCCAATTATCAATTTCATGTTTCAATCAAATTTATTGATTTGAATTCCCAGGATTCCCCAGAAAAGCTTCCTAAGAGTTTTTGAAATCCAGTTGTAACTGAGCAGAATTTAGCAACTTTAGTACAAATGTCCATAGATTGATCTGTTAGCAGGTAATGTGCATTTCTAGGTGTCGAGGGTCCAATATTAATCTCCAAATACAGAGTAAACTTATCCCTGGATCACTAAGAAGTATATCCTATATTTCTCAAAACCTCTGTTCATATCATCAAAATTCACCAGAAAATGTTCATGCTAGATTTTAAAAGCATCTTAATTTTTTTTTAAAATGCACTTTTTATGGTTTGCAGTGCATTTTTTAATTTAAGATTAATTTAATTTAAGATGCTTTTAAAATACCTGACACTGAATAAAGCTGAAGGGTTTAACAGTATCAAACAATCGAAACTCGCCAGGGACTAGCCTCTTGCTCAGACTATACTTCCTCCGCATCACTTAGCCAGCCAAAATCGAGAGACTTGTCTTAGGATCAGCCAATCCGAGCCGCCGCTCCTCTTCTCCTTCATCTGGATGAAGGAGGAAACCCAAAGAGGCGGGAATCGACACCTCAAACCACGCCCCTTCCCACCCCCCAAACCCCGCCCATTTCAGACCGCGCCCTCTTGCATCGAGAGCGTGAGGTTCCTTTCCTCTCAGCGGAGCCCGCCTGGTTGGTACTGTCGAGCCGCTTAAACCCCGCCCCTCCACGGTGGGCTCTGCTTTGGGCGGCATCTCTCCACTTTTTTTTTTTTTTGAAACTCTCGCCGTTCCCTCCGAAATCCCGCCCCTTTCTTGGGGGCCACGCCCCTTCGGTATAAATAGTCGGGCGTCTTGAAAGCGTCCCATCAGTCGCACTTGAGGGGTTGGTGAGAGAGTACAGGCGGCTCTGGTTTCCTTTCCCCCCTGTCATCCCGAGTGACCCGCACGCCCGGAGAGGGAGCCGAACCGTGCCTGTCGAGGGGCATTCCTGTGCGGGTGGTCGGCATGGCGCTCTCGGTGCCGGTCAACGGCATGAAGGAGGTGGGCGGCGGCAAGGAGCCCCTCATAGAACTCTTCGTCAAGGTAAAGAGGCTCCTCATTGAGGGCATCGGCTTGGTCCGCTGTGGTGGTGGTGGTGGTGGTGGTGGGGAGATCGCCCTCCTGCCTCTTCCCCGCGGTGGCCGGTGGGCGCTGAAGTCCTCGGTGGGTGGGATGGACGGCCCCACCCTCGTGCCCTCCTTCCCGCCTCCGATCGCGACCCCCCCACCCGCCCCCCGATCGGGCTCGCTCCAACCCCGCCTGCCCGATCGAGCCCGCGTGGTTCAGCCTCGGAGCTTCCCGCGAAGGGCTTGCAAGAAGTGGGGGGCGCCCCTAGACGGCGCGAGGGAAGGGTCCCGCAGCGCCTCCTCCCCCCTTCCGCCCTCTGGGTCTGGGCTTTCTCCTCGCCCCCCCTCCCCCCCCCAGGGCGGTTCAGGTGGGCTCCGGTTGCTCCTGCGAAGACTGGAATGCGGGTATCGATCGGTCGGTTGATGCATCAGACGTGACCCTGGACGGCTCGGGATTAAAGCCTAAGCAAGCCAGACAAGTGAATGAAAAGCCAGACCGAGTCTCCCTTTGAAAGGGAAGCAAAAGCGCGAGGGAGGCTGGAGATCCCGGGATTTGGGTGGGCAGTGGAGTCTTCCAAGAAAGGCAGTTGGAAGGAGAAGGTGGCATCCGGAAGACCCTGTAGATTTCCTTCTGGGTCTTTTCCATTCTGGGTGGGGCTTTTCTGGTTGGGATGAAGAAGAAATCTATATAGGACAAATTGAGGCTGGGGGAGTCCAACCTGGTGGATTCCAACCTCCGGAATTCCCCAGCCAGCCATGATGAACAACCAGAGTCGGAAGGGACCTTGAAGGTCTTCTAGTCCAGGGGTGGCCAACCTTTTGGACCTCAGGGACCACCAAACTCATCATTTTAGATCCCAGGGACCACTAAGGGGTTCTGTGGGTGTGGCCTAATTTGTGGGTGTGGCTTGGTGGTCATGTGACTTGGCTGGGCACGGCTTGTATGTAAATATTATAAATATATATATAAATATTGAATTTTTTATTTAAAAAAAGAGCAGCTCTTACCCAAAATCAAGCAAAGCAGGCAGGCAGATTGAGTTGCTCACAGAATCACAGATTCATTCAGAGATCTATCTGCCATTGGCTAGCTCAGTCTGTCACATAAAATTTGCTTGCAAGCAAACTCACAAAATTAACTCACAACACACCATGCATGTAGATATTGAATTTTTTATTTAAAAAAGAGCAACTTTTACCCAAAATCAGGCAAAGAAGGCAGATTGAGTTGCGCACAGAATCATTCAGTGATCTATCTATCTGCCGTTGGCTACCCGAGTCTGTCAAATTTGCTTGCCGTGAGTGTGCACTGAATTTGCTTGCAAGCAAGCCTTCAGTCCTAAGGGAGGTTCGGCTATGCTTAAAAGCAGAGCCGAAGATCTAAAGACTAGCTAGAAAGCAAGAAATCCAACCATTTCCTGCTTCCTAGATAATCTAAATCTCCCAGCACAGCAGAACAGATGATGGTCGGAAAAAGGAAAAATAGCAATTTAGCAGGCAAGTTTACCGGGTAAGGAGTAAATGAGTGAGCGGGCAGGGAGGGTTCCTGCGGGCCATGTGAGCGGCGCAGCCTTGTGTTTCTGTGCAGCCTGGGTTAATTGCTTTGGGGGGCGGTGCTCGGGGGGGGTGAGATTTCTCTGCGGCCCACCAAAATTTTCTCGTGGCCCACCGGTTGGCAACTGCTGTTCTAGTCCAACCCCCTGCTCAAGCAGGAGACCTCATACCATTTCAGACTGGTGGCTGTCTAGTCTCCTCAGAAGCCTCCAGTGATGGAGCGCCAACAACTTCTGAAGGCAAAGCTGTTCCACTGATTGATTGTTCTCACTGTCAGGAAATTCCTTGTTCCTTCTAGGTTGGATCTCTTTGATCAGTTTCCATCTGTTGCTTCTTGTGCCTTCTGGTGCTTAAGAAAATACCCCCCTCTTCTTTGTGGCAACCCTTCAAATATTGGGACACTGCTATCATGTCTCCCCTTGGTCCCGGTTTTAAAGTTGTTAAGGTTGGACACCCCTGTTCTAAAACTTAGCTGGCCTTTTGATATCCCTGAGGCTTCCTGGAGGTTTGAGCTATAATTCTTACAGCTATGATTGAACTGACCGATACTGTATGTCTGCTGTCAAATGGAAATACGTCTCAGTTTCTCTGCACTTTTTAAAACTTTTTATTTTTATTTTATTTCACCAGTCAATATCCCTAATCCTACATTCTGAGTGACCACAGTGATATCTCAGGAGTATTCTCAGTAGTGGTTTTGGATCCAGTGAGACACCCACGGCAGGTTGATAAAGGGGATAAAACATTTGGGGCTTAGAAAAAGGCAAAGGTGATGGGAGGTTAGACTGGGCAATATTCACTGTTCTGTAAAATGGAAATTTATTGGAGTTATGAGAATTTTTCTGCTTTCTTTAGTAATCTATAAATCTTGCTTACCCATGATAGAGTTATAGCCTCTTTTCCAAGCATTTGACTTGTCTCAGTTTTGTCATTAGAAGGGAATGTGAGGGTTTTTTTAAAAAAAACACACCTCATTTCAGAGGTTTTCTTCCCAGTTACATATGCATTAAGGGGGCATTTCTATGAGGTATTTTGATTCACTGAGATTTAGCTCAAACACTTCCTATTTTATTTCCTCCCCTTGTCTCCAATTTTGGAATTATATATAAAGTGCTGATTAATATTGGCATGATTTTTGGTGACATGTAAGTTCTATGAAATATTGAACATGAAATATTTTTATGAAACGTTTATGTTCCTAGTCCTTAGGCAGAGGTTACATCAAGGAATATATAACATAGTTGTTTTGGGAATCATATTTTTTTATTGCTATAGCCTAACCTTTGCCTTGTTTGATCATAACCTATCTTTGGTTTTATATAAATTCAGCACGGCCTTCGCCTTCAGGAACAAGCTCTGTTCTCTAACGCCGTGTTAATAAAATCTTCCTTTTTGCATTTTTCCATGCATCCATGGAAGAATTCTTTGCCGTAGCACATGTACACACCCATTCCAGCCCCCATCTGCTCTGGTATGAGGCAGGCACAGTTAGAGCCGAAGTCTTGAATTGGAAATAAAGGGTGGGGAACTGATGGAGTCCGGATGAAGTCATGTTCCCCAGAAGTCATTATTTCATGCAGTCTATGAATAGTACATTACTCATTTGCTCTTGGAAGTAGTATCAGAAGACTTGGCTTGAGTTCCACACTTCGGTAAAAAATGGGCTTTGGGGAATTACAAGGAGCCACAATAAAAACAAATCTGTATTACGTATTTTATTAAAAGTATGTGTATATTTATGTCCTGCATGCGGTGTGCATATGCCTGAGTTCCACCCCTGGTCTCATCACTTGCTTGACCAGTTATTATGCAACTTTTTGCTGATGTGAGTTGCATGTATTAAAGATTTCTCCTTTCAAATGAGGAAGTCACTGTTGAGTGTCTGAGATCAGCCATGTACAGGTAATCCTTGATTTGCTACCACAATTAAAGCCAAAATTTCCCATTGCTAAGCAAGGCGGTGATTAAGTGAGTTTTGCCCCATTTTACGACATTTCTTTTAGCAGAAAAATGATCTTGTTACTTTTTTCAGCACTGTTGTAACTTCGGATGATCTACATACATAGTCCTTGACTTAAAATCGTTTGTTTAATGACCATAAAGTTTAAGTGATTGCATGTTATTTATCGTCATGGATATCCAACCTTTTGGCTTGCCTGGGCAGCGTTGAGTGAAGAGGAATTGTCTTGGGCAGTGTATAAAATATATAGTTAATATACCACATAATATTAAAAGTTTACAATCTTGTGGAGCTGTATTAACTGTCCAGAGTCACGTGCAGCCCGTGGGTTGAACACACTTGTATTAAGTAATCATTTCTAAAGGCTGAAGAAAATGATATGAAGATGTTAGTATTATAAGATATTCAAACTAACATGCTTGAAGTTTTGCCACCCAACCTGGGCTATTTTGTATGGAGAATTTGATTTGGAGTCTTTGAGGAAAATGATTACCGTATTTAGCTGAAAGGCAGATTGGATAGGGAAAAATATTTTCCCTTTATTAATGTGCATCCGTCATTCATAAGATAACTTATTGCCAAGACTGGGGAAGGGGTTATTTGGGGGGAAATTTTGATTTCCATTTTGATACATATGTTCTCAGTGTTCAAAAAAAGTACCGGTAGGTGATATTGTTAAAGACATGAAGTGGTGTGATTTCAGAGTTAAAGTGAGATTATTTCTAGTGTTTTTCCCCTCCCTGTCTGCAGAACATACCTCCTCACAAGGTGATCTTTACAAACTGGCATTTGCAAAAAAACAAGTGAGGGCAAAACAAAAAAGGTGGAAATTAAGTGTTAAGTACAATCATTGCAACTTTACTAATTCCCATGGAAGAAAAATATGCTGAACATGGTTGTAACTCGTCTATTCCTGCTCTAGAGGATATTTTCAAAGCAAACCTTGATGCAGGGATAAAATATAACCTGCTTGTAGTACTTTTCCTTATGGTCTGTGGTTATGAGTAACTATACACCTGTGTCTTCCCTGCCATCCAGCGTGTTGATCTTCCTACTGTCTAATCTTCAGTGCAAATATTTGCTATCGTAATGCTGATCAAGCAGAACCAGCTATTATCTCATTCGCTAACAGGTTCAGTATAAATAGTTAACAAAGGAAGCTCATTTCCTGCATCTAGTAGAAGAAATGTTAAGAACATTCTATCTTAGTCTCATAGAGATTGGGGTAGAATTAATATAGCATAATTAGCATATTATTCATCATCCTTAATATGCACTGTGTATGTAAAATATCATGTTGCAATTATGAGGCGGTAGGTTGCCCAGAAGGCCTGATTCTTCCTAGCTGAAGAGAGATTTAAATGGGGGGGGGGGAGGGGGTTATTTGTTAGATGAACTTGAGCCCCAAAATTCATCATATTAAATTTGATAAAAATACATGTGTTGTTGTATAAAATTGCTAA